ACAATGAAATCAGAGTAATAAATAATTAAGAGAGATTCATGATACAAAATCAATCAGAGAGTTTTACAATCTTTAAGGAGCAGACTTTTATTTATCAAACAAGATTCACATCTTAACTATTCAGATATTGTCTTTTAATGAAACAATTAAAAGGTAAACAAACAACTCATGTGCATGTGTTGGCGTATGCATACATGCGTTGTGTGCATGTACATATATGGATACATCATAAGTACTAATTTTATACGTTTTTATGTTAAATTTACCAAAAAATTAGTGTCAATTGTACATAGATACGTGATAAGTACTAATTTTATACACTCTTATGTCTAATTTACCGAAAATTATTTTTCTAGAGACAATTTATGGGGTTTTTCATCAATTTCAACGTTTCAATCAGTTTGTAAGTTCATATATTTTAAACATGAGTAACTAATCTTTCCATTTCTAGCAAATGGTAGATAATTAACTTTAAATTTGGATGAGCTGAGACTAAAATTTATTCCACAATCGATTGATTTTATTTGTACAAGGATCAAATCTTTAATTAAGAAAAAGACAAAAATACCCTAACTGAAAATGAAAATTTTACTTTATTTTTAAGACACAATTTTATTCCACAACCGACTGACGTCCTCATGGTTGACTAAGGAATTGAATGGCCACCCGACTACTAGATTTTGAAATTTACTCTGAAAAATAAAATTACACATTATTAAGTAAGAATCGTCATTTTCACTTACTGGATAAAACTCTTCATCCTTCTCATCACTCTTACCCGATAAGTTCATCATATCTTATCATGTTCATTCAATAAGAAAATTTATCTGGTAAACACTTCTTAAGTAAACGTTTAGTAAAGGGTCCCTTAATAAGAAAAAAAACATTATGTTCATTAAACAGTCATATATTAAATACAATTTCATTAGTAAATTGACATAAAATTACATAACTTTCCTTATTATACTTTTAACAAGTGGTTCACCTTCTTAACTCCATGCAAAATAAAAGAGTATCAAGCATTTCACCTTTAAGACCTCTTTGTTTTTTTTGAAAATTACCTTTTAATAACTCAAAAATCTGATTCGTTCAAACGTTTGGATATTAAGAACGTTTGCTTTATTTCTAAAACATAAGCTTAAAAGCTTCAAATATTCTCTGAAATTTTAAGCGGTAAAAATACCCCATGATACTTCCTAATCCTAATCCACTCTCTATCAAATGGTTAATATTTTAGAAGATGAAAGAGATTTATTAGCAAAAACTATTTATCTTTTATATTTTTGTAAAAAAAACTATTCATCTTTTCTATTTTTGCATTAATTTGAACGATTCATCTGGTGAAGATATTTTTGCATTATATCACAAACAAAAATACTATTTCTCCACATCTGAAACAATTATAGCTCATCAAAGAGCTAGAAATTTCAGAAAATGGAGAAGATATCAATATCGCATCGGCTCATACACACCACCTATTAACATTCAAAAGTGTTGGTAATCAGTATTTTCGATGCATAAAACCATTAAATATTCGGAAATTAATTAAAATCAGTATTTTTTATGCAAAGAACATCTAAGAGGTTGTTTGTTTACCTCTTAATGAGACAATATCTGAATCTTTAAGAGATGAATCATGTTTGACAAAAAGAGTCGAACCCTTAATGCTTCTAAAATCCTTAGAATAATTTTGCATCTATTAATCATTTAATTCCCTAATTTCATTGTAAACAATTATCAAACAAATTATATTTTATTTTACACTATATCATGAGAAGATTTTAATTCTACATACTTGACTTTTTTTTAATGATTTACCAAAATAATCCTAGTTCTGCAAATTTAAATTTTTGTCAGTCCTGGGTCATATATGTAAATAATTTTTGTAGACCTGGGCCTTAAATGTAAATATTTCTATTTAATGTAAATAAATATTACATACTTTAAAAACATATAAAATTTATAATATTTTATAAAAATATAGCTTCGTTTACTGAACCTTTTCCATCATTAATTATTCAAGAGGTTCACCCAATAACGATGCCCAGCTGTATTTCCCTGACGTTTACGGGAGACCTATTCACATTTTTATCGGCAACAGGTCCCTGCTTTTATACATCAGCTTTCTTATTTTCATCAAAAAATCTCTCTTAATTATACACAAAATAAAACCCATCGAAAATCTAATTTTTTTTGTATAAAAATATATATATATATAAATAAATATAGGTCTAATCCAGGCCCCCAAATCAGAAAAAATCAGTGGGAGCAGACATGACGACCTAAAAGTTGCTCAATCTTCGTGCACAGTACCATGCTTCTTTCATCATAATTCCAGAGCATCGGCTTATTTGTACACGGATCTCTTCATTCCTCGATTCTATCCACTAACATAATTTAAAAACGGAGTTGAATACAATTTTTTCATGATTTCAGATTTGATGCTTTGGAATCACCTCAATATCTGTCGAATTAAAAACACTGAAATGCAATTGAAATTGCTGAAATCAGGAAATATGAAATTCATTCTCATTGATTTTGATTACAACATCACCGAAATCTGACATGTGAATTGTTCATATTTCGTCATCGAAGAACAAAAATTCGTAAAAAAAAACAACAGTGAATTTTATATTGAAGATAACATTTGGAATATACTAATCGTAACAGAATGAGCTCTCATTCAAGTTTTATTTTCCAGTCATTTAACAATCGGAATAGCGTATATTGCCTAAACGGCATTCGATCATAGAGCTCTTAACAACATAAATTTACTTCCAAAACGAGTATTAATTGAATTGATGAACATTTTGGCTTAAAATCATGAAAAACAGACAGATGTTTGAAGATAGATCTGATGGAGATCAGAGTTTGGTAAAGTTTTATCGGTCACGATTAATCTGAAACACGGACCAAATTGTTACTCATCATATCTCCGGTGATATCATGGATAGATTCTTCAATAATCAAGCAAAACTAAGAAAAATTTGAAGAACAATAACTACTGAAATCGTAAAAGCTAAAAACCGGAGGATATCACGATGAAATTGTTCCTTACCATGTCATGTCGTTTGATCCATAATGAAAATGAAAATGAAAGCAGAAGAAGGAATCAACGCAAACTATGAAGGACAGTGAGGATAAGATCCAACATATAAAGATGTAGAGAAACCCTAAAAACCCAAATCTCACGACCAGCGATTATGTAGCACAATAGCACACTATACATGTTATAAGGCCCATTGGGCTTCTCAATGTTTACATGGGCTGTTACTCAGCCCAGCCCACAAAGCAACTCTTTTATCAATCTATCTATACATATTCTATATTATAAAACATTTAACATAAACTCTTAAAAACCATTTTTTATGTAGGGATGGCAAAAAAACCAAAATCGATGGTGAAAACCGAAACTTTCGGTCGGGTTCGGGGACGGGGCGGGGATCGGGGACGAATTCGGGGATTTTAACGGAGACGGGGGCGGGGATGGTGATCACCGGCCCGGCCCGGCCCGATATGTATATATATATATATATATATATATATATATAATATCATTAAAATAAAATAGTAACATTAAAATTTAAAAAAGTTTTATCCAATTTACCTCAACAACTCAAATAAACCTCACGAAAAAATCTAGTTTATTTGTCTATTATTATTTATAAGAAAGTGTTCACAATGTGTTCATCTTGAGTTCATATTCAATTATGTGTCATGTGTACGTGTATTTTATTAAGGTTGTGTTTGACAAACTAGCTAATAAGCTAGATGATGATGATAAGCTAGTTGTTATGTTACAAGGTAGCTGGTAGCTGACAAACAAATCATGTTTGTCAAAACTAATTGATAAAAAATGCAGAATGAACAAAAAAGACATCTTGAAAACTTAATCAATTATAGAATTTTAGAATATAATTCAAACAAGTCTCTAATAATATAATATATTTAATAATACAAACAAGATGGTAAAAAAATTTAAAAAATGTAATATATTAATTAAAGGAATATC